TTAATACTCTTTAAAAAATAAACCAAAAGCTAGTATGCTTCAGAGCAAAACTCCAGGCTTCATCAACATCATCTTTATTTCCAAGAATACCTGTGTATAGATATACAATGCAATACTCATACAATAAGAACAGGAGATGGCTGCACCTCAATGCTTTTTGTGGAAGGCACTCACTTGCTAAGGGAAACTAAATAGACAGTTTGTAAAATGCTGGCAGTGGTAGTAGTATGCAACATCCTGTTATAGATCTTCCAACTTGGCTCTCCATCTGCTAGAAGAACTACAAGGATGGTTGCTGCAAACAACCTATTTTCTAGTTTAAACAAATTACTGTCTCTTCTACTCAAATGTGGCCAATATTCAAATGAGGATCACTAGGTTTACTGAATCAAATAGAATAAAAAATAAATGATTGTTTCTGATTGTGACTTATTTCAATAAGTCACAGTTTAAACAGATCACAATTCCTGGTTTTGATGCAGTAATAAACTGCAGTTACTTTAAACCTGGAAATGGTTGCTTCCAGTCTCATTCAGGCTGTCATAGGAGTAGGAGAGGGAATAGGTGAACAGGGTCATTCACAGGGTCATTCACAGGGTCATTCACAGAAAATTAAACCATTATCCTTGTGTTTATACCAGGACAATGGCAGACAATTACCCAGGTAATACATAAAACACAAGATAATAACAGAAGAATAGATACAAAATTGGTTAAGATTAAAAAAAAAAAAGAATATTCATCTGTTTCTCAGCCAAGTTTCCAAAAGATGCAAGGCAAATTACTAACAAATCTAATATAAAATCAACAGTCAAGAGAACATAAAATCTAAAATCACAACTCAGAAATGGAAATTCAAACCTAGAAGAATAAATAAATTGAGAGGAGCTTAAAAAAAATCAGTTTCATCAATGTGGAAATATTTGCAAGTAAGTAGTTATGAATACTTCTTAACAAGTCCAAATACACACATTAAAGTTAAATAAAAAAGTTGGTTTGGGGCATCTGCTCAGAGTTTTGCATACATCAAGAAACCCAGGGAAGAACTGGAGACACTTCCACCCTCCAAACCTTTTGCTCCCTCCCCTCTCTTTTTTTCATCTTCCCCTTCCATGGCTTAGGGGAAAAATAGGAAAAAATATGACATTTTTCTAAAGTATCTTGCTAATTGTTTTAGTTTTTGTGATTATCGGCTTCCCGTTCATGGAAGCATTCACATTATTCTATTTTCTAATAGATGTGACTGTAGGTGACAAAGTGCTAAGGAGAAAAATAAACCTGACATCATCTTACTATTTTTAGAGAATGAGAGGAGTTGAGAATAACAGAAGAGAAAGCCAAAGAAAAACAAGTAAAAATTTCATTTACTGAACACTAACAAAAGAACAACATGAAAGCCAACCCCTACTCAGCTTAATTAATTCAAATTCTGCTTATGCAAGCCACAGTTAATGCTAGATAGAGCACCCTGGTTTAAGCCCCAGCAAACAAAAAAGCAGAAACAATAAAATGAAATTCAAAACATTGGGGCATGAGAAAGGGGAAAAAGAGATGATGGGAATGATGATGATTTACTACAAAAATTACTATTACTGATGTCTTTCCAAATTAAGCTTCACTACCATTTTCTTTGAAATACCTGCACAATGTTCTTCCCAGCAAAAGTTGCTCTTCTCCAGATCCGCCCTCGGCCCACAGCCTCATTCAATAACTGGGCCAACTTCCGCTCCATCTCAGCCTGAAAAACTTCCTCTTCAACTTTCTGGTTGACAACTCCCAGAACAACTAAGTTGAAATAAACATTCAGATAGAAAATATATGTTTTTAAAAGATGTTTGAATTTTCACCTTGAAATCACAGACAAACCAAACATTTCTTCTCACTGGCATAATGTTCAAAATGGTAAAGAGAAGATTTGTTATTTTGGAAATGGCAACTATATCATTGCCAACTGTTACACCATGAAGTACTTCATGATTTATTAAGAATTTGGTTGTAAAAAAGATTCATGTATAAATTTTAACATAATAATTTAGAGAATGTGAAATAGTAGCACCAGATGCCGATGCCTAGAGCATCTCCAGAAGGCAACTGCAATCCTCGTACTAAATAATTTTTAACACAGCTGAAATTTTGTAAGACTGTTAACTCTCATGTCAGTCAGGGATTCTCACCTGAAATCTCATGAAATTTCAGATTCTAAAGTAAATTCATGGGAGTAAGTTTACTGAAATTTTGCAAATCTGTTCATCATATGAGATTCTGGCCATTTAAAAGTATTTTTATTTTCTGACCCTATGCCTTCTTGTACAGTATCATCAGATGATGGCTAGTGCCTGAAAGATTTACCATCTCCCATCATAGAATTTTGGGCTCACTGAGTAAAGGGGATCAAAAATTAGAAAAAAGGGCTAGCCAAACCACTTTTCTGTGTATGTATGTGCATGCCTTCAAGTCAGTCTTCACTCCTGGCAACTTTGGACTAGTCCTTGCAGTTTTCTTAGCAAGATTTTCAGAAGTGGTTGGCCACTGCTTTCTTCCTAGGGCTGAGAGAGAGTGACTGGCTCAAGGTCACTTAGCTGGCTTAGTTCCCAAGGCAGGACTGGAACTCACCCAGTTTGTAGCCTGGTACCTTAACTACTACACCAAACTGGCTCTCAGACAAACTACTAGAAGATTATAAATAATCCTTTTATTTCCCACACCTTTTTTCCCAAAATCCAATTTTCACACCTACATTTTCTCTATTGATCCTTACTGATCTCTTAACTTTGGATCTAAGAATTACATCTGCAACAGATGGTTTTCTCTTGGGTGTGGGTTAAATTTACCTTCCTCTCCATAAATATTGTCCATTTTTATAATAGTACATTTTTCTCTGTTTTTCTCTATGCAAACCTGTAGGGATATTTGCAGTGTCTTCCTTCCAAGTTATTATTTTAAATCACAAAATCTTCAAAATGTTTAGTGCAAAACTGGGGGCATTAAAGGGTGAACACAAATAGCATTGCCAAATATACTTCAACCCTACTAATACTTCCTTGCATATTTGTTCATAATCAGGAACTCTCCCAGTAAATGAATTGAATGATTCATTACTCAGAACTTATATATAATTCAAAGTTACATAAATGTAGATCTGCCAAGTGCTGAAAAAGAACATTTTATGCCCATGTATTTCACTAGGCATTTTGCACATGGGAAGGGATGTTCATAACCAAAAAGGGAAGCAAAAATTATTCATGTTATTTTGAGTATGGAGCTATGCATTTCAAAGAACAAGGGACTGCTTGCTCTATTCAGTTTCTCTCTCTATAATGATTTGGTAGCACTCATCCTGTATCCTGACATTATGATGATCTATTTCCCCAACCCCTCACAGTAGCAGGCTGTCAAAGCTTCATCTGTGGTACAGAAAGAAATGTCTGTTCTAGAAACTTTATTTTCAGGAGTCTGGAGTTTAAATTCAGGAACTTGGAGTGGAATAGTGAAGAACAAAGCTCAGAAAAATAAGCTCCTTTTACTACAGATACCAAAGAAGCTCTAGTAATGAAGATCACCACTTGCAGAATCTGGAATCAAGTCATATTTATATTTGACCCACAGTTTAAATGTTAAGTCTCTTCCTCCTACTCTTATGTTATTATGGACTTCTTCCATTCACTTTTTGGCCTTGGATGTGAAAGACAACTGCACAATATTTTAATTATAGTCCTTTCTGATCAAAGACTCCTTGCTTGTCTTGGCATCTTCAGTTCTCCTGTCAGTATGGACTAAAGTGCAGAAATGTACACTGTGTACACTGTGACTTCACATAATTACATATTATGGAGTTAGC